AATACCCTCGGCTTTTCCCCTTATTTGTTCATTTCACAGGGTACAGTCTGTGCCTGTACTTTTATTTTTCTCTCTCTGAATGAATATTCATTAATTAAAACCTTGCTTAAAGCAACTTGTACATAAGTTCCTGTTTAAGTTTGTTGTGCATTGTTAAGAAATTGGAAATTCAAGAATCTTCGATTTAGATCCTGGATACTCAGCAGACTGAATAAAAACCTATGCACTGTACAGTTTAAGCTGAGCAGCAGGATAAAGCAAGTGCAGCTGCACCTAGAATTTGTTGGTTTCTGTTGCATAAAATCAAAATTGCACCCTTGAGAGGGCACTATATGTCACTGACAAAACATGCCCTGCTGACCCCGTACCACGGACATGATGTTTTAAAAAGTACAGTCTAATGAGGATTGCAATCTTCTAGGTTCCAACTACAAGACCCTCACCTCTTTTTGTTGTTAAACATAATATTGATTATCAAAACTAATTGAGATAATTATTTAGATTTTGATTTTACTGAAATTATCTTTTAGCAGACATCAAGATATGGTCCCTCGATCTTAAACGAGGACTAAGATTTTTCTCAATGGCCAAAAGCAGAATATATATATATATATTACATGAAAAAGTCAGTCTCAGTGTTTTCTTTTTGAAAGGTTGTCCCTGACTACTGCAGGTTTGGCTGGGGATTCAACTTATTGAAATTATTTGTGAACTAAGAGTAGGAGTTTTTCCTCCCATATTATAAATGTGAAATACTTACTTGTTTACATAGGTGATGAGTCAATTTTTTGTTCTTTCAACTTTAGAGATTTGAGAAAACTTCTTAGGTGCTGTTGGTATAAATTTCTTTGCACCCATATTATTTCGAAGGCATGGCTATGTTTACAGTTAATCTATCATTGACATATACTGAGATTCATTGCTTTTTTCATCCCTCCATTTTTATCTCTCCTTAATACAGATATATACAGTTAGCTAATCTTGATAGCATGTGGGAACATATTGGCAAATTTGTACTCCTTACCTAGTTAAATGTTACACAGAAATAAACTGGTGATGATAGAGTGCGGATCTTCCATCGACCTTACATTTAACGTGATTGAAAGAGTTATTTCACAAGTACCACTGAGCTTAAATACCTTCCTGTATTGAAAATCCTTAATTTGATCATAAAATCATATTTAATTTTGAAAATGGTGTTTATGTAATCCCATTCCTTAGGGCTTCAGTGATGACCAGACTTTTTCAAAATCAATGGTTCAAATTTATTTAGGTATATTAAGAGATGTAAGCAATTGAGATAACAATACTGCAAGACATGTTTGCTTGAGTATTTAATTATGCAGTTTGACCTTAAATAATATGTCTATCCAGTGACTATGGTGCAGCATCCCCATTGTTGATATGCCACCCATGGGAATAGTGTCCCTCTCTTTTGAGTTTAATTGGTGATTGATTAACAGGATAACTATGATAAGTTAACTCATCTCCAGCTATTGCTCTTAGGACTGCTGATGCTGGCTTGGGCAGTACTGACTGCCAATGTCATAGATTATAGCAAGTCTTGTGGCTATTCTTAGAGTTAATACTTGCTGTTTCACGTCTGTAACTTAATGGAGATGAACAAAGTGAAAGGGTGAAACTTTAGCAGCTTGTTCCTATGTTCTGTAGACACCAGCAAAGTCGGGGACCATAAAGTTCTTTTCTTTTCTGTTTCTGTAATGCCATGTTAAACAAAAATTTGACCTTGTGAATATTCTTCTTCCTCTAAAAGTTCTTCAAGATTTATGCATATGGCTATAATTTCTTCTATTATGTGTTTGCTTGTTCCTTTTAGGGGAGAAACAAATATGGAACAATTGTCTACAGATATTGAATCTACATGCATAATACATGTAGATATTTAGATATATATGCATGTGCGTATATGTATTTGTTTTAGGAAAAAATAATTTAGTTGGGTTGATGCTTTTTTTTAATATGTTGTCCATTTATGATGTATAAGTAGGGCCTTTGGGATGCAAATTCTAGAACTAGAAACAATTTGAAGAAGTGGTTTCTAGTTCCAGTATCTGTCGGAACTTTTTCCCCGCACTTGATGCGGTTCCTAAAACCTATTAGGAAATTTTGCTGTATCCAAGGTCCTCCTGGACAGTTCCCAATATTGTTGTACTCCTGTCGTGATAGGTATGCTAGCCTGTATTATGTGCCAATCTTTTGCATTATGGTTGATGGGGACAGAAGAAGTGGCAGGCACGGATGAAGGAGATTTGGAACTTGGCCAATGCCCTAATCTGTTTCTTGTTTCTTTACTCTTTAAACTTCCCTTCTTTTAGTGGGTCACTGATGGAGTTTTCTCTCTGCTTGAGACAAACAGTTGTTTTGAGACACACACTACACATGCCCAAACTCATGCCTTCAGATTAGATGGGTGGTTTCCTTAACTGTTCTTTTCTGATTTTGTGTACGTGAAGTTCTATAGTGATTTAAACTAATGGTTAAGAAGATCTCTTATGCTGCAAACAGGAACCTTCTTAATACTTATTTGCTATAATGGGCACAATTTCCTATGCCTTTTAGCAGCCTAGAATAAATTAGAAGAGATAGTGAGGTCCCCTGTGGTTGCTGCATGAAAATCCACGCATCAAGAAAGGTAACCCAAATGGGCCCATGTGGCAAATAAAGCAACAAGGGTGATAAACTTTTCTGTTTTATTGGCCATGCTTCTCTCTTTCTTTCTCATACAATAGTCTTGCTCTGTATGTTCCATCTTTAAATAGGATATACTGAACCTTACCCGCCAAGTTAATAGAGTAACATAAATACTTCTCTTGCATTGCTTTCTTTCCGTTCTCCTCTTGTTAATTCACATCCGGGAGCAATCCATTCATACTGCCGCCACCAGCATGGTTGTTTTGCATTCTCTGTTGTTTTCGAGTTGCCAGCAAATCATCTTCAATGAGAACTTGTAGGATAGAGAAGGGAGATATTCAAAGATATGGGGGGTGGTGGTAAGGTTTTGAGGGCTTTATTTGGAACTGTTGTAGTCTTGGGTGTTATTTGGTTTTTCGTTGTTGGCGTCCTAGCAAATCATGCAACCAAAACCACGAAAGTAGTAACATTAACCTCGTCCAGAAGTTTCTACCGTTTGAAGTTTATTGGTGAGGAGAAGCATCATTTTCATCAGTACCTGAATCTCAATTACGTTAGCAAGAGAAGAGTACCCAATGGACCAGATCCCATCCACAACAGGTAAATATGTATTTTCCTCTTTGTGCTTTCTTTTTGATGGATATGGTTTGCCCTTGGTTGATACTTGCATATTTTCCCTGGTGTCGTCGTCTCTGTGAGTGTCTAGTGATTGATCACTGATTAAATTTTTTACTCGTATAAGCAACCAATTTGAGAAGCAAAAATGATTGCTACGTCATTGCCTAATTTCATATTATCATAAAGCTATATGTTGTAGTTTCCATCTTAAAAAGTTGGCATAATCATTTCTGTATTCTGTTTAAGTGGCATGATCTTTTTCTTTTTGAGGGTCCTTGAGTATTTACTTTATATTATATATCTTATAAACTCTAATTTAAAATGCATGGAAGCTGATGACCATGTCACTCTTTACAAAAGCTTCTTTAATATCAATCTTTCTCTTATTTTCATGTGCTAAAAATAAAGACCTTGGGTGGAGAACCATGGTACTTTATGTATTTGGAAAAACAATATGGAGATTGATTCTTCATTCGAAATTCGTCTATTTAATTACTTGATTTAGTAATTACTTTATGTATTTACTTCCTCGGATATTAATGTTTAATATTGCTACCTATATTTTAGTACTATTTTCTTTTTTCCCACTAGGGAGTAATGGTGGTCTAGGATTATCATGCACTGATGATGAATTTTTTATTGTGCATGTTCAGGAGAGCATCAAAGTCTAGACAACCACCGGGTCGGGCCTGAGCAGAGAGGGAAATAGAAGCTTCTAATTTTGTGTGTAAGAGGAGGGTAATGCTTTTTCAATCATTGAAAGAATTGAAATTAGAGGTTTTCCAATAAAAGTTATGATGGGGCAGGGGTTTTGAATGTGTTCTTGAGTGCATAGATTTCCTACAATATCTGTTGCTATTGACGATCACTGGGTGCAACTCTTACAGCTTCTTGAATGAACTTTTGGAGGTAATATTATGATTATGAATCTAAGATTGCATGAAACTGAAGAATCCATGGGGGCCATGGTTGTCCTCTTCTGCAGAAACAATAAGTAGAAGGGAGATGATTTTGAACTTTTGGATGTGTCCCATCAGTATTTGCTTAAATTCTTTTGAGAGAAGAATTGGGATTATTTTGGATAGGGTTCACTTGGGATGGAAAAGAAAAAGAAGAAGCAGATACTATTAGAAAAAATGGGAACACAATCCAAGAAAGGTTCTAGTGTACGT